CCATAATTAGCTAAAACATTACTGAAAAATGATATTTGATATTCTATCTTTATTTGGTTTTAATTCAACAAATATGCAACTGAGGTCTTACAGTTATCATACTGTCTTTAAATATAACACCTATTGTCGATACTTTATTACTGCCAAAAAGATCAATTTCCACCTGTTTTCAGTTTATTTCTGACTTCCCTAAAACTATTGATTCTCTCTCTCTCTCTCTCTCTCTCTCTGTTTCTTTCTTTTCTCTCCCGTCACAATATAACAAGAAATAAATTGCACATCTTTTCCAAACAGAGCAATTTCTCCGCCATCTGTTCACCAACGTAAATCAGAGCTTGTTGATGTAAACCTGCTCCTTCGCCAAACTCCCCCCAGTGAGGACTGAAACAGGCCTAATCCCCTGGTCTGTGCTGCTGCTGGTCTCTAAATCATCCCTGCATATTAATACCTCTGTGCACCAGTACCAGGAATAGGTCCAGATATGAAACCAAGGCACTGATCTAATTGAAGCGCCAAGAAAAGAGGGCATTCTTGGACAGATTCCTAATCAGATGTCTGTCACTAAGTTTAAAAAAACTTTTTTTTTTATTATTATTACTAGTATTATTATTACACGTCAACTCTAGTTGATATTAGTGTTTTATCTATATTGTATAATATCCATCCATCCATCCATTTTCCTCCGCTTATCCGTTACCGGGTTGCGGGGGCAGCAGTCGCCACCCAAATCACATTGCACCGTACCAACCCCCCTTAAACCTTCCTGCAGGTGGTGAGTCCACTGGAAGGTATTAACCGCCCTAACCGGGATTCGAACTTGCCCAGGAGGTGAACCCTGGGGTTCCACACCAATGACAGAGACATTGCCTCTGGGCCAAAGCGCCACTACTTTCCATTCAATACTTTTCTTTGACGTGAGCTTTTGCCCACAATGCGTTTAAATGACAACAGTTGTATTGACAACAATAAGCCTTACAATACGTTACATGAGAGACATTTTACGATTAGCCGTTTACCTATTTACACAGGAATGTTCTAGAACTAACAACAGTTGTTCATGATGCCTTAAAATGATTGTGATTCAATCAATTATGTTTAAGTGTAAAGTTGTATTTGTCTGTTATTCTGAGACGAGGACAGCTACGGGGTGACCTCAGTTTACGAAATTCTTGACCTACTGTGAAAATTGAGTAATAAAGGTTGTTTATCTTTTTCATTTTCTAAAATACTATACTTTAAGCAGTGGCCTAAGAGTTTTGCACAGCACTTTGAATGAAGTAACATAGTATCATTTAAACATGATAAAACCAGTTTTTATGACAAAAAAAAAAAAAAACTCTCACACACACGGTGTGGACGTGGAGGATGTTGCTGTGTAAGAAAGTGTAAGAAAAGGGCTAAAAGTGTTCGTACAAGCCAGAGGCTGTTTCCGTCATAATTCATCTTTATACAGCAGAGAAACTTGGAAGCGACTGGCTAACCTGACTGCTTGCATCATGTTTTATTTTAATTAGTTTAATTGGGTACTTATTTTGCTCTCTGCAGCTTGGCATCCTCCACAAACCTAACTGCCTTAAGTGTGGAACAGTGTGAGACCATTTTACACCCATCTTTTAATGTTATTTATTTAACTTTTTTTTTGGTTTTCAAAAATAATTTGATGTCTCAACAGAAAGCGTACACTCAGACTAAGCAACATTTTGGCAACTCTACGTTCTAAACTCCTTGGACCCATATAAAAGGGAGTACGAGTGTCTGTTAATGAAATTAAAACTCACAAATGTCAACACCAACCAGGTAAACATACAGTATAGTTTCACCTACATGGTCAAAGAGTCATGTAAGAGGCCTAATGACGATGTCCCGATGTGATCCACAGAGAGGCTTTTACCACACTGCAGCTCACTAACGTGGCTTTGATTAAACTTTCACTAATTAAAGTCTCCCTCATCTGATTAGCCTGAATAATTGATTTAATTTGTCTCAGCTCAACTATTGGCTGTGACCTCTACTTAGTTAATGAATTAATTGATTCAGCTCGAGAGAGTTTGGAGGAATCAGAGATAAGATTTTGACATGTGCTGCTTTAATCTTGCTGACTGGAGACACTCTTTGGGTCATAAAGGCAATGTTCTGGCAACAGTCTGGGGGTCGGGAAGTGAGGCATTGGCTGCGGACTGCAATTTACCTCTGCACAAGTGTCCTTCTGCAGTTTGTCACTGGATGAAGGAACAGCCTTGGCAATGACACTTTAAAAGCGCCATTTCTCAGACGCTTTCAAAGTTGGAAAGAAACTTGAAACCCACACCAAATATACTTACTGATACTTTCCCTGGCCGAGCTCCACCTTCAGTGAGCGAAAGCAATACTCTAAGGGTGTTCATGTTTTGGAAGGGAAAAATATGAGTCAATAATATTGCCATAATACGTGATTAGAACCAGTATTCATACTTTACAAGGGCCCTTGCATTCCTAAATCACCAGCCCCCTCTTTACTGGCATCGTTTTTCTCAGTAATGTCACAGAGGAGCTCCCTCAGCCCAAACACAGTTATTAACCAGATGTAGGGGGAAAAGCAGCATCTAAACCCCGGTCCATTCAGTGTCATACCGCTGCAATAGTGCTGTGAACATCAATTAATCAAATAATGCAATGCTACAGGAGTTTAATTTGTTTGAAATACCATGTGAAGGAGGGGAGTTAGCCGAATGCTCTTAGTGATTTTTTTAAACGTTTGCATGTGCAGCGAAACTTAGTCAAACAGTGCCCTCCAGTGGTACAATAGAGTATTGTTTATCTCACGCTGTAAGACAAAAATGAACTCTGATAATATACCAACGGAAACATTTGCTTAAAACATGATATATCTATTCTGTGAACTTAAAAAAATTAAGACCGATTAATCATTTTCATGCTATTTAGCGTGTTTGCTTAACATTTAGCAATTATGAAATGCTAATTTCAGTCTTGTAAATACAATGGTAAATTGTAGCTACATAACCATTGTGTTTTCAAGTATCTTTTAGGAAAATCTGTCTTTTTCCAACACTTAATATGTATATTATTAGATATTCTTGTGATTATGCCATATTAGAAAAGACAGATTTAATACTATCACTAATTAAATGTCTTTGTAATTTTTGCATATTTTTCTGGTAAACAGACCATTTTATTTGGCTAGTAAAACATTCGGGTTATTCAGCTGAGTCATTTCTTAGATATAAATGTGACCTCACCTACCCCACGCTGACCTAATGTCCTTTTATTCTTCTTCGCCATCTGTCTCTTCTAACACATTTCTATTCGAGAAAAGAACTTGGTTCTTCACCCCATGTCAAGCCTGGACAGCCTTTAAGGCTTTTTTTCCTAAATAACCACCATTAATCTTCTAACCAGAAAATAGCACAAACCATTATAAATACACAGCTCAGGGGAGTTACAGACAAGGATAGATAGAAAAAGTTTTTTGCCAAACACAATCAACTCAGTAGGGACAAAAAATGCAGCAACTTGTGCTGTAGCTTCTAGTTCCAAAATTATCCACAAGCACAAAAATCCATTACAAACAAAGATAGAGAAACTCTTCCTGCCGAATGGAAGAGTCTGAACCAACTGATAATTCAGAGTTGTACAGTACACTGGGGTATTTTGTGACTCATCAGTTTCTGTCGTTAAGATAAATGCGTGAACTTCCCCGGGTTTGACCAAGTGGGGTTTTTTTTTTCACACTTTGTATGCGAAGCTCGTGGTTTTAGGTTTAACCATAAAAAAAATCAATAGTAAATGGGTGAAATATGAGCACAAGTTAATAAAAACAAACTTAAAAAAACATGACCCTCTGCAAAAAAAAATTTCTAGAATTTGTAAAAGAACATTCTAGGTAGACGGTACAGACTGACATTCAGGTAAATTGTGATACATACATTATTATAACAGAGTGAGCAACAGTGAGCACGCACTGGTGGACAATACAAAAAACACTCAATTCAAATCTATGCTGCCATTTTAATGTGTATGGCCTGAATTGACATTGGGTTTTGGCTACTATTCAAATTATTATGCTACAGTTTTCATTGCTAAAGTTAATCATAATGAAAAAAGCGAGAGTCCATGCATGAATAATATAACCAGCCTCAGTGACATCTTTATGTATGTTTGATTAAAGATTGTGTGGTTTGTTTTTCTAATTTCACATAATACACTTTTAAATTCCCTGCAAAGTGATCAAGCGCAGTATTAACAGCTGCAATAAAAACCATTTGAGATAAACAAATAAATGAATGGTGTTTTTATTATGATGTATGGCCAACTGCTGCCATCTGGCTGCCTGACAGATATCAGAGACTTCATCATTCAGCCCAATGTTAACCTGCCCATTCAAGGTGACTTAGTATATAGAGTGAGAGGACACTTTTATGACATTTTAGGACATACATGTGGACACAACTTGACCTTGTAAGGCAGTACACGAAGAGAAAATATATCCCAGGCAGCCCTGCTCCTTTCTTTCTATTCACTGTCTCCTTGGACCTGGTAAATCTAATGACCCAACAGATCAATTCAGCCACAGTTTGTCCTGTTGTGATTAATCACTGGTCCTGGTGTTTTTGTCTATGGTTTATCTCTTTTATCAACCGGTATATAAAAGTAATTACTACTATAAATAACAATGTTGGAGAACCACGGACCACATTTATTTACACTGCCTACATGCTAAATGCTACATTTTGTTTGTTGACATGTATGCTTCTAAAAGTCCTGTGTAAAGTTTTTTTTATGAACAAAAGTATAATTTCTACTAGTTTTCTCCATCTAACTTAGTTTCACTGCATAAAATTAAGGTGTATATATTTCTTTTTGATTAAATGATGTAATATATTACTTTGAATTTTAACACAGTCACGCACATAAAAATAAGGAAATAGCAATAATATAAAAATTCACAGGGCAAAACATACATCAAACAATACATACATTTTCAGGTCTCTCAAAAAATTTGTGTTGTACACTTACCTGATAGGTGTTTGTGTTATTAGTGTGTCTCTGCAGAGATGTTTTTTACTAGCGTCAGTGCCCCATGGGGGGGACCCGCTGTAGGCCAATTAACGACATTAATGAAAAATATTAAATACGTTTTTCTATATTTCAAAACAACAGTAGTAAGGTGGTAGATGCAGTGTGTAAACACATGTCACTTTACACATACACGTCTCTAAATTATTCACACTGTATCTTTATAAAAAATAAAATGAGCGCGAAAATAGCTTCTGTTGCTCGGTGCTAAGGGGGGAAATACAGTACAAACGTTACGTCCAGCGGTTTAGGTCGCGCTTTCCCTTTAACTCTGCGCGTGACGTCATAATAACGTGACTCCTCTGTTTTGCGACAGGACGCACTGGCACGCGGCTCGACGTCGCCGCCTCATCCCCGCTGGCACAAAACAGCCTGTTGTGGTTAGATACTGAAAAGCGAACCGCAGTGTTTTATTGTTAGTGTTATGTCAAAGTGTAAATGATGTAATGCAAGGCAGCGGCAGTCCAAAAGCCCAATACCTACCGTGTTTCTTACGGTGAAGGAGGAGGAGGGCGTCGTAGTTTGCATGTAAGAGTACCATTGGTTCTTAACTGTTGTCTTATTTTTGCCAAAGAGTATGAACATATTGTACGTTTGTGGTTATTAAAAAAAAAGCATGTTCAGCGGGGGTACTTTACCTGATATGATTATAGTTTACTTCTGTGCTCAGACACTATCGTCATTTACAATAAAAACGTAGGCCCGCATTTGTTGTGTGAGGTTTGCAACTGTGTGGGCATGTTGATGTTGTACATGACACGAACATACAGTAAAAAAAAAAACAACAAAAAAACGGATTGTCTCCACAGAACCTTGCTCTACTTCCTGGACCTTGGCACCACAAGCTACTACATCTCCAATCTGGGCTCCTGTAAGAGCCACTGTCAGCTCCTCTACCAAATGAAGTTAACTTTCTCCAGAAAAGCATATCTCCACCTGGACTCCACCTGTTACTGGGTACCCTGTGCACCGTCCCGGGCTCCAGTAGCCCATCCATGCCTGTGATCCCCATCCCAAGGCGGGTGCGCAGCTTCCATGGCCCCCACACCACCTGCATGCACTCGGCCTGTGGGTCGACACATGCTTCCAAGCTGGTGCGCACCAAGTACAATAACTTTGACCTCTACCTGCGCTCCCGCTGCATGTACAGCTTCCTCCGTTTCCTTTTGTACTTTGGCTGCAGCCTGCTGACCTCCTTGCTCTGGGTGGCGCTCTCTGCCCTCTTCTTCCTGCAGTATGTCAGTGTGCGGGTGCTCCTGCGACTGCAGTACAAGCTGTCTGTCATCCTGTTGTTGTTAGGCCATCGGAGGCTGGACTTTGGGGTGGTCAATGACTTGTTTATTTACAGTATGCAGATTACCATGTTTCTGGTGGGGGGGCTTGGCTGGTGCTTTATGGTGTTTGTGGATATGTAGCTGCCACGTGAGATGAACTAAAGTAGCAGAGCGTGCTTCAAATCTCAGAGCCTGACTAAAAAAAAAAACCCTTTGAACATTAATTCAAGAAATTATTGTTCAAATATCCTAAACGAACAGCAGTCGAAAATCAAATGTACGATCTCCATTTTAAAGGCTAAAAATGTCTGTTGCTTATTTTACATTTGTATTGTATTTCCATGCTGTTTGTAACCTCTTCTCACCACGTTTAATGCTCGTTTTGACCAAAAACTGTTTTGTTTACACAAATTACAAAACTGTTGGTGTGAAAAGTCAATGTTGCATGAATATGTGACCTAACATGACCAGTTTGCCTCATTATGGTGTGAGGCAAAGCAGGCAGTAGTGCCAGAATATTAGTTCTTTGAACAAAACAAGACGTTTGTTGTGTCCCCCGGCTTGAATTGGTGTTATGAATTATATTCTGGCAACATCCACAATTATACAATATGCCTAGAGCTCACGGCAGAGATGAAGCTGATATGTGTGCGTTTCTTGAACAACATTGTGGATAATGTTTTTGTGGAAAGGATGGAGAAAAGAGGCATTGTGCAAGTGACAAATTTCCCATTTTTTTTGTAAAAATCGATTAATAAATGTTCTCCTCATGAAGTCTTTTATGCTTTAAAACGCATGGCCTGTTGACTCTTTGCTCCCTAACACCCATGACAGCATGCCTCAGGCTATGTCATAAGAGTGTGTGACAGGTCAAATTGTAAAGGGCTTTGGGTCAAGTGCTTCATCAGTCGCTCTTCACATGGTTTGCAGAGCGGCTCTGACAAACTTCTCTGTTTAGCTTCCCCTTCGCGCGCAGCACACAACCACAACTAGATCCTGCTGTTATCTGCCAAGCATAATAAGGGATATGGCCGTGCCCCAGTTAACTTACATAACCTCTTTTCACATATTATGAAGTGAGCCTGCCTGAATACACACCAGCGCACAGCAGGTTTTTTCAAGTATTGTAATACAAGAAACTGATTACCATGTTTACTGTACATTTCAGCAGCACAGTAAAAGTAAACAATAGGCCAGAAACTATACCAGGGGATCATTTTGAGATGTGCACTCTTGACACAATGGCTGGGGAACTGACTGAGACATTAGTGAGACTGGTATGGCCTCAAACTGTAAAGGGATAATCAGGCAGCAACAATAAGCTTTTGTTTCCAAGGATCAGCACATCATATGCTCCATACTGAGAGCTGGCCTGATGTGACAGGCCAAGTTGAGGACAACCGTAGTGCGTTAGCTGTCACATGGTGTTTTTGTGGTGCGTTACTGTAGATTGGACCAATTATTAAATTGCTGCTTTCTTCTCTTCTTCCTCGGGAAAACTTACAAAAAAGACATTTAACTCACTGGATTTGTTCTGTTTGTTTCACATAAACTAAATTAGAAGTTGATTCTTGGATCACAACTGAAAAATATGGGCCACAGGCAAGGTTACCAAAAGTACAGTAAGGAAACCAGCGTTACCTCAATCCATGTATCATAAAGTGGCTATAAGAGTCCATTTTCTCTGAAGCAGCTCTTTATGATACACTGACCATTGTAACATGTGCAGGATGAGGCCCAGGGCTGTGTGTGGATACTAGGGATCATATGTCAATAAAAATGCAATTGAACCCAACTGACCCTACTTTGGTCACACCTCATATTGACTTTTGTCAATAAAAGGTGTTTTTGTTAAAAATAAGTTCTCATAACAGCCCAACACCCCTATTGAATGTTTCCTGGAGGTCCTTGTGGAATAGGCATGGGCAAACTACAACCCGAGGGCCGGATGCGGCCGGTTTGGCCTTTTTATCCGGCTCGCCAACTTACATTATGAATTTATAATATTGTTATACTTCAGCCTTTTCCCTTTAATGCCTGTCTTTCCCCAATTGATGCTGTAGAAAAAGCCACAAGCATTTTAGCTTTTATGCATGCAATTTATCTTAGTTCAGATATTAGGACCCGCTGATGCCCGCAATTCATCCCCAATTTGTAGACAGAATGTTCTCTTGACCTCGTACTTGTAGTGTTAATAAACTTCCAGCTTATCCCTTTAACAGTGTCACTGCTGCAGTAGTGAGCACAGCGTTTGGTGAAACCAATAATGAATCTTACAGATATTTAATAATCATCTAATATCAGGTCGTTAACATCCGTCGGCCGATGTTATCGGACATCCCTAATAAATATGTAAATATGTCTGATCAAAATTCTATTATTATAGGCCCGTTGTTTAATACAGGCGCATGATAGTCACTGTATGAATATAGGACGACGTGTCCCTGCTCAGACTGTTGCCCCCACGACCCGGCCCCGGATAAGCGGTTGAGGATGGCTGGATGGATGGATACAGTAAACACCCTGTCAGGTCATGTGCAAATATCACAAGACTGCACAGCGTCTAGCCGATCGTGAATTGAAAGTGAACTCTCACACTCTGAAAACAGAGAAGTAATTGGAGAGGTAACAAATGAAAAGTGACGAAAGTAAAACATTTGTCTGCAATGTGAGATGTGATATTAACAAGCAGTGATTCAAATTGGGGTGTGACCTCAGGAGGAGGTGAACGTGTTTATATTCATTCACCAAGTGCTTTTTATCTGATTTCTACTCCTTGGAAAAAAAAAAGTCTGAACCTCACTGGCTCAGTTTTTAATCTTGTTAAAGACACAGAAAGTGTCCACGCTCCTGTTGTTGCTGCCAAAACCTAATTTGTTACCATCCATGTAAAGATAAAAACAGTAATGCATTCTCTTCTTTGTCATTTGTACTCCATTGTTAATCTTTTTTTTATTTCTTTGTTAATTTATTCTCTGCTCATAAATGGGCAATTTTCCCATTTATAACTTTTACTTTTTAATTATTTTATAAATTAAATCTAAAAAATATTATATATAAATAATTTATTTTAACTTCACAATTACTGTGTCTCTGTCTTCTGTCTCTTTAGACAAATAAAATATTTTTTCCATCTCCATTCAGCTTTAAAGAATTTTTTATTTATTTTTTTTAATAATGTTTCACAAAAGAGACATAGCTTCTGGCTTCTTGTTTAATGTGATGTCTCCTGTATCCAGCACCTCAGAGTAACACCTTACTTTGGGCTAACCTAGTTTAACATTTATCAAAATGTTCTAAATTTGAGGATCAAAGACAATATTTTTATATTTCCAGACCTTCAACAGAGGTTGCTGTGCTCCTGTATATCAGATGTTAATGCCAGGCTGGAACACACTGCACTACATCAAGTTACGTCATGGAGACATTTGCTGGAGATAATGATAAAGACGTAGGAGTAGGAGAGACGCTTCAAGAAAAACCTGAGAGGATTTCTGTTGTTCAGGTCGTGTCGTTTAGTTGATGTTAACAACAAGCTCAATATGATAAGGATTACATAAAATAATATTACATAAAATATTACATAAAATGTAATATTAATAATTCGGTCATGGGCCAACTTTTTGACTTGCTGTTCACAATTGTCCTAAAATTGAACAGGGGTGAACTGAGATAAATGACATGTAAAAGTCATGCATAAAGGCTAAAATGCTATTATCATTTTCTACGCCATCTATTGGAGAAAAGTCGGTATTGCAGGGAAAAGGCAAAAGTATAATGATTGTATAAATAAATTATATAACTTGGAAAAGTTTAGCGGGCCGGAATAAAAAGCTAAACGGACCGCATCCGGCCCCCGGGCCTTAATTTTCCCATGACTGGTCTAGTTTAATGTTTATTTTACTTACACTTTTAAGCAATTTCCTGCCACAAATCCAATCACACTGCACTACTGTATGTGCTTAAACATTCTTAAAATATATCGTTTGACAGATATAGTCCAAAGTATTTTTTTTTAAATATTATTTAGTATTGCACAGGGATGTAGTGTGTATGTGACTGATACGTTGTGTTCTTAACAGCACGGTTACTGCAGGGGAGATGATTGGCAGGAGAGAAGCTGGATTTATAGCAGTCTGTGCTTGAATGTCTTTGAGGACTGAAACGTCTGTGCAGTGATTTTTCAGAGACGTCCTGATACTGCTCTGTGGTGTCCTTTCTCGTCACCTCCACAACAGTGGGATGGCAGGATGTGTCTGTGTGTGTCTGTCTTTCCCCCTGGCAGTGCAGTACTGTGATGCTAGTACACACTGTTAAGGTTGGCCGTCTTTGACTGCTGTGTTATCTACTGCGGAACTGCTATGTTGCCATCGTAGCACGTCAGGTGTAAGAATAGAGCAGAGGTCGTTGGTACTGACAGCTACTACGTAACTCAACGTTGAGACAGAGCATTATGAGTTGTTTAAAATATGATGTTTCTTCTCCTCCCTTTGGTAAAAGAAGTAATTGGAGAGGTAACAAATGAAAAGTGACGAAAGTAAAACATTTGTCTGCAATGTGAGATCTGATATTAACAAGCAGTGATGTAAATTGGGGTGTGACCTCAGGAGGAGGTGAACGTGTTTATATTCATTCACCAAGTGCTTTTTATCTGATTTCTACTCCTTGGAAAAAAAAGTCTGAACCTCACTGGCTCAGTTTTTAATCTTGTTAAAGACACAGAAAGTGTCCACGCTCCTGTTGTTGCTGCCAAAACCTAATTTGTTACCATCCATGTAAAGATAAAAACAGTAATGCATTCTCTTCTTTGTCATTTGTACTGCATTGTTAATCTTTTTTTTTTTTATTTCTTTGTTACAGTACTGTGATGCTAGTACACACTGTTAAGGTTGGCCGTCTTTGACTGCTGTGTTATCTACTGCGGAACTGCTATGTTGCCATCGTAGCACGTCAGGTGTAAGAATAGAGCAGAGGTCGTTGGTACTGACAGCTACTACGTAACTCAACGTTGAGACAGAGCATTATGAGTTGTTTAAAATATGATGTTTCTTCTCCTCCCTTTGGTAAAAGAAATCATACTGGGGATGAAAAAAAAAACTGAGGGTCAATCTGGTGGATGACCGACTGGAGCCCTGGATGTTTCTGGTCGTCCACATCTTGAACAGAGAAATTTGCAGACAAAAATGGTTCCAGTATTTCCTTATGTTTATTTCTTGTCCTAATTTCTCTTAGAAAGAATTTTGTGATGAAGACATGAATTGTGAGCTGGATATTTGAGTAAACAAACAAAAAACAACAACTGACAAACTCAGGGCAGAGTTTCTTCCATTGTATCTGTTAATTAATTTAATTAACACATTAAGGGGTGTGAGAAAATATTGATACATTGAAAATCATGATATGTCGTTTCTTGATACCGTGTTAATATTCTGTAGAACCCTATAACATTTTTTAATTAACAATTAACATGCACATATTCATGCTGTTGGTCCTTTTTTTTTAAATTTTGCCTTCACTTCTTCTATAGCGATTACAAATGTAGATCCCTATTCTAATTTTAGTAACCTGATGTTAAGCCTGTAACAGCATTCATGTTTACTAGGCTGACATTTTTCCTACACTTAAATTGTTTTTAAAAAACTCAATATGTCGTTGTATCGCAATAAATCACAATATGTTGTATTGTCACCCCCGTATTGTGATACGCATCGTATCACCAGATTCTTGCCAATCCACACCCCTAATTGATTAATTAATACTTTTACTTCTCTTCCCCACATGGTTCGATAAAT